GTGGGATAGCCGAGCTAGAGCTAAATAATAATATAATAATAGTGACCTCTTACTAATGGGTGCCGGTCTGATGCCGACAACATTAATAGCAATGGTTTTCAAAGGTAAATGCACTCTTAAAAGCACTTTCAAATGTAAATACTATTGAATGGCAATGTTCAGTGGCCAACAAGAAAATATGCAATCCTGCAGCAGTGTGTGATCAGGGGAGACATGCTATTGACACTCATATGAAACAATATTGTGTGATAAAACAGTATCGTGTTGTTATAACATGATTGTGCATCAATGTACGATCAGATACATTAAGTGAATTGGATGTGAAATATATGCATATGCATGCAAACACAATGCTACTAATGGTATTGCATTGCATTTAAATGCACCTTCAATCCACTAAATGTATCTGATCACACAATGATGTGTAATTGTGGCACAACAACACAATACTATTTTATCACACAATATTGTTTCATATGAGTGTCTACAACATGTTTTTCCTGATCACGCACCACTGCATGATCAGGTTATTAACATGATACTGTGTGATGACACAGTATTGCTTCATATGAGTGTCTACAATATGATGTTTTCCTGATCGCACGCTGTTGCGCGATTGGGTTATTAACACAATACTGTGTGATGACACAGTATTGCTTCATATGAGTGTCTACAATATGATGTTTTCCTGATTGCACGCTGTTGCGCGATTGGGTTATTAACACAATACTGTGTGATGACACAGTATTGCTTCATATGAGTGTCTACAATATGATGTTTTCCTGATCGCACGCTGTTGCGCGATTGGGTTATTAATACAATACTGTGTGATGACACAATATTGCTTCATATGAGTGTCTACAATATGATGTTTTGCCTGATCGCACACCGCTGCACGATCAGGTTATTAATGCGATACTGATTCATTACATAGTATTGTTTCATATGAGTGTCTGTACCATGTTCTTCCTAATTGCACACTGCTGCACGATCGGGTATTTTTCTTGTTGGCCACTGAATATTGCCATTTGACAGTATTTACATCTGAAAGTGCTCTCCAGAGTGCATTTTACCCTTTTCACAGTGTTTGCAGATTTTTAATCACACAACCCACATTTTAACCACCAACCCCCCTCCAAAAAAGGGGTAGAATACATACGTCATCTTTTGACCGCGCCAACCGGTCTTAAGTCGCATCAAAGTGGTCCTGCTGACCATCCCCATATAGTATGCCCGAGCCTCTTACAAGGTTAGAATGACTCCATCCGCCGATTTCGCCGAGGGCCGGCCAATCACAGCGCGGATAGTCATAATGCCCATTACGCACCCGTCCGACGGCTTCGGCTTCGGCACGCGGTGTCCATGGTACTGCCCCTCCCCGGGGTCCCATGGCGCAAGGTATAAGTACTTCCTAGAATGCGCTGATGAGTGTCACCACGAAAGCCTCCGGAACTCCTCACAGAGTTCGGACCTTTGCCTTCCAGTTTCACCTCAGCAACGTCACCTCGCCTCGCTTCGCTCGGCTCGGCTCCCCCCAACCCTAAACCCTAAGGGGCCCAAATGCCAATTTTTTCTCTTTTCAAACGGTAGCTCCTATTTTGCAGGCCTAGGTCTAGTAGCTTCTATCAGGGCCATCAGGGCCTGTCTGGGTAACTCATACTTTGCTGTCTGCCCAGTATTTGTCTCTGTTTGCCCTTATTATGTGTCAACTTAATTTGACGCATGATATTGCATGCCACTGCACAATTGGGTTATTAACACAATACTGTTTCACCACACAGCATTGCTTTATATGAGTGTCTACAATATAATGTTTTTCCTGATCGCGCGCCGCTGCACGATCGGGTTTTTAACACAATACTGTTTTATCACATGGTATTGCCTCATATGAGTGTCTACAATATGATGTTTTTCCTGATCGCGCGCTGCTGCACGATCGGGTTTTTAACACAATACTCTTTCATCACATGGTATTGCTCTATATGAGTGTCTACAATATGATGTTTTGCCTGATCGCGCGCTGCTGCACGATCGGGTTTTTAACACATTACTGTTTCATTACACAGTATTGCTTCATATGGGTATCTACAATATGATGTCTTTCCTGATCGCGCGCCACTGTGCGATCGGGTATTTTTCTTGTTGGCCACTGAATATTGCCATTTGA